GAGCCTCGAAGCGCCTCGATTGCAGGCTTTGGAAACACGGGACCTCTTTCATCAACATAACAGAAAAGGAAAGATTGTCATGACCAAGACAAGCAGGTACAAGGAGCTAGTTTTGGGTTCGTTTTTGGCACCTGAAATTGATATGATTTTTGGAGACGGAGGTGGGGCCTCCCTTGTATAGCACCCACCTTAGATGCTAGGTTCGCCAACGTGGGTGTCCCACGGCTGGCCTACCTGTCTCAGAACAGCAGCGAAAGTTCCCTAAGTCGACTTTGTCCCACACACAAGTCGGTCTCGTCCGCCTTGATCAATAAAGGCAATTGGACCAACATGGGTGTCCCATGACTGGTTCCTTGCCCACCTTCTCTTCCTATCAATCGACCTCTCCATTTTGTATATGGGAGGGACTTCCAATGTAGTGGAGGGGTGGGGGGGTGGCTCTAGCTCCGGTAGCATAGAATGATGTCAAAGCACATCTAGCCATGGCATCCATTGCTGTATTTGCTCATCCTGCCAAAAATAGATCGGTCAGTGTCATTCTCCACAGCCGACGAGTGCCCGTTCCCATGGCTGACGACAATGTCAACCGACCTGCATGTGAGCTCTCTGATGTACTCGAAAATGACGATCTCCAACAGTTCACAATCAACACCAAGTTTCTACAGCCTGGTGAAGCCCTACCTGTTGTTGAGCCAAGTGGCGAATCGATGTCCGCATGACCATTCCGCTCAGGGAGCTACTACAAGAAGTCGAACACAGTGGATGCGCAAGCGGACGCGCACGAGCCATCCTCGTCATTGCGGAGAGCTGTAGCACTAATACGATTACACGCTGTGCAAGGGAATACATTGCCAGAGAACAGCCTACTCAGCCAAACATACCTGACCCGCTCAGAACCAACTATCCACCGACACCTCCTGCAATTGATGGATTCCTACAAGACGTGCAACAGCGTGCAATTCTCAATGAAGTCGACAATCTTTTAGTGGACCTAGCGAACCAATTCCATCGTGCTGGCCACGCCAATAGCTTTAGTGCTGCAAGAGCATACTTGACTCGCCTTGTCCAGTACCGCTGTCCGGATACTATGCCCACCAAGAAACGCCGGCGGTTACTATGAACTACGATGATGATGATGATGATGTTGGGACAAGACCACCTGAGAGGATTCTGAGAGTTGAGTGACGCCTCTATTGAGCCATTTCACCCATAGATCCCGTCTCACCTCTCGGTTTCACCATTTCTGTTGACTACGTGGCTGTGTCACTGCTAGTCTTCAGGAATGTTTCAGACATGTGATTCGTTATGCCCGTGCGGCTTACCCTGGGTGATCTCGGTGCTCCTGGCCGGGGGGGAGCCCTGGTTTCCGCTCAGAGTTTTGTTGGTTCCTTCACATGTCTTTCAGTATGGCGATGTCTTTGTTCTTTGTTGCGCTTCTGGTTTGATGTTTCACGCCATACTGCCGACTCCACTGTGATGCACAAGCCATCACTTTTCTTCAACTTAGCTGGCCCTTTTCACAATGCCTGTTTTGCGCTTTGTGGGTTTTGTGTGTTGTTTGGTTTGTTTGCTTTTTCTGTTGTTGCTTCTTGTCTTTGTTTTGTGTCCTGTTTTTCGGCACTGTGACTACCATCCAGGACTATGATGCCTATCCTGATGCCAGCGTTTTCACTGTTGGGTCCATGGATGCGCTGTGAAGGCTTTTGTATCACGGCCCAATAGTTACAGTTAATTCATTTCATGCACTTGTGTGTTGATCGACCTGGCGAAAGCCAAGAGGCGATGGACGGAAAAAAAAGTGACTACCCCCAGGACTGCGAAGCCTGTCCTGATGCCAGCCTTTTCACTGTTGGGTCCATGGATGCGCCGTGTTGGCTTTTGTATCACGGCCCAATAGTTACAGTTAATTCATTTCATGCAATAGCGTGTTGATCGACCTGGCGAAAGCCAAGAGGCGATGGACGGAAAAAAAGACTCATCAACCCTTTGTGCTCATACATGTGTCAGTTTTGATTTCGGTTTTGCATCAAGAACAGAGCATGAATCAAAAGCTTGTGGTCTTTTTGTTCATGATCGGCATTCAGGTGCTATGCATGTGGTTCCGACGCCGCAGAAAAGGAGGACGTCATTTACAGTATCTTTGCACTGAGTTTTGCACGTTTCTGGTTTTGCTTGGGCAGTCCACTATTGTCTTACGATTTGATCAGGAGCCATCGACACTTTCTTTGCTTGAAGCTGAAAAAGACATGCAGAGCACTTGGTATCAGAATCATTGAAGAAGGAAGTCATGCTTCGAATGGTGCTGCTGAAGTCACCGTGAAAGTGATCAGAAGGCATGCAAACCTTTTGATCCAGCAGATTGGGAAAGGTTGTGGACTTGCGAGGTGATAGGTTGTCATCACCCACTATATCAATGGGCTCTTCTTCACAGTTGTTGCTTGCACAATCGCTTTGTTGCGCGCCAAGGCGACATGGCCTGTGAGCAATGTGCCAACAGGCCATACACTGGACGTCTGGCGCTTTTTGCTAAACGTGTACTTGGATTTCTCAAGTTGTCTACAAAAGGTTCCCCAACATGGACAAAAGGCATATGGCTAGGAAAGACAGTTAGCAACGATGTTCATATCATTGCTGTTCCTGGAAGTCCTCATTGTTTGTCACAAGGAGCGTTTGACGACTCCCAAAACCGTGGGACATGCAAATAGTTGGCGAATTTGAGGCTTCACCGTGGCAGTTTGGATGTGCTCCACTTGGAGCACAACTCATCTTGTCAAAGCGAATCTCTGCGCCTCCCATTTTGTCGTTGCCACCTGCAAGGTCACGGGACCTTGATGCTGAAGCTGTGATGGGCATTCCTCGAACTCCAGATGAAGTTGGCGATGAGGCCCAAAGTCTTCAAAGTGCTGCCCCAGCTTTGTCAGGAGAAGCTCTTGATGAGCATATTGAAGTGTTGGCTGAGGCTCTGACCTTACCAAAACAAATTGGACTTGGCGCTCCAAGTACGCCACCTGTAGAATCAGCTCCAATTACGCCAGTTGATGCACCTGCTACTTCAAGTGCTTCAGGTTCTGGCGATGCTGCTATGCCCAATGTTGCTCCACGAGCAACCCATGCCCGTGATGATGAAACTGTTGAGAGGCCTGCCAAGCACCCACGTATTCTTGCAGTCATGGAGCACGAGGATGGTTCCAATGCAACCAATTTCGAAAATGATGAGGTTGAAAGCCTCGAAGCCTATGAGTACACCCTGTGCGACGATGACACAGGAGATGCATATATACATGATGACACAGAATCAACCAGTGACATTTTGCAGAAACTCACATTCCCATATACGAAGTTAGAGCCAGAACTTCCTGCTGAAGATCTTTTGCAACTTGATCTCTTAGCCGATGAACTTGAGATCTCTAGGTTGAAGCTGATGGGAGTTTTGATCCCTGCTGAGACCTATGCCCATGGCGGTGAGATTCAACTGGCGTGACAAGTTTATCAACGGTGTTCATGTTTGGTTGCGACGTTCCAGGTACGTGGCCAGAGAATTTGGTTGGCTATCCCCTGAACGACAAGATCTTTTCAGCCCTGCTTCATCAGGGCTGACAGTGAGGCTTTTACCAACTTTGTTTATGACGTGGAAGTCATTTGGATATGTTCTCTGCGCCATTGACATTGCAGACGCATTTTTGATGGCTTTAGAAGGAGTTGACACAAGTCACATGTGAGCTTGCCACAGGTGACACGATGGACTTCATGCTTGGAAAAGTCTTACCTGGCCAACGCAATGGCTCGCAGATGTGGCACGAGGCATTCAGTGGTTTTCTTGGCAGTGAACTTCAAATCAATGACTTTCCAGCGTACCCCAGTTTGCTTAGGTCAACCAATGGTGAATGTTTGATGCTGCTGCAGCACGTTGATGATGTTTTGTGTCTGAGTACTCAAAAGTACCTTGACGATGTGCTGCTTCCTGCATTGAACCCGCGTGAGATCATGGCCAAGGAAAATGATGAGCTTACGTTTTTGAAGAGGAAACATACTCTGATCTCTGAGGGCGAGATGGCAATCCAGAGTCATCCAAAACATCTTGAACCTCTTTTCGATCTTCTTTGCATCAATCGACGCTTGAAACCAAAGAAAACCCCAGGACATCCAATGCTGGATGAGCCTGACACCACTGCCAAGCTGAATGCTGGAGATGCGACTGTCTATAGGTCATGCATTGGAATCTTGTTGTACATGTCAAGTGACTATGTGGACTGTCAATACACAATCAGAGGTCTTTCACAGAGTATGGCTTCACCTTCTGTTCAGGCAATGGCTTGCTTGAGGCACCTGGCTCAGTATCTCTTGGGATGCACTGATCATGCAATGGTCTTGAAGTACGAGGCCCACAAAGGACTGCTTCATCACAATCCATGTGACTATACCCTTGAGATCTATAGCGACTCAGACTGGGCAAAACACAAACAAACACGTCGATCAGTATCCTCAGGATATTTATTTCTGTTTGGGTGCCTTCTCTACCCCACATCGCGTTCTCAGAAAGCATTGGCACTCTCATCAGCAGAGGCGGAGATATACGCATCAGCATCAGCCACGAGTGATGCGATTCTCATGTATCATTGTCTCAGGTTTGCTATTGGCGACAAGGACGAGATCAAAGTAAGTTCTTGATTCCAATCCTCAAAACTTGTTGTTCTTCCATTCTTTCCGCAAAACTGGAGCCAACAAATTGGCTATCAGCCATGTTATAAACTTTGCAGAGGTACATCAAATACTCCACACGGTCTCGGGTCAATCGCTTTGTACCCAAATCAGATACGTTGTCCTTTGTACCTACTTTTCCAACAGTCATGAAGCCCTCTTCGATTTTCAGCTGGATCCACAGGATTCTCAAACTGATGTGTCGTATCCTGCCTACTCCAACACGGCAAAGAAAGGAACGTGCAGCAGAGTTGTCCATCGCCAAATGGATGGGTTTCGGCACAACAACCTCAAAGAGTTTGATGCGAGTGCTTCTCATCGACGCCTTGAGCAGCACGATGGCTATGGAAATGCCTGTGATCCCTTCTTCCTCTACCCCTTCAAGCTCTTCAGGGTTCTTTAGCATGGTGCTGGCGCTTTTGCTGACCACCTTTTGCATGCTATGTGGCTTCTTGGTGGTGACTGCGCATTTTGGTGCTCAGCCGCAGGGACGTTTGCAGACCTTGCGCATGGATGTTGCCTTGAGGAAAGTGCTGAAGGATGTTGAAGGTATACAGAAGGGAGCATGGCTTGGATGAGATTGCAGAAGAAGAGGTTCCTGCGACAGATGCCATCGACGAGTCAGAAGATGATGGTCATGTTGAGACCTACAGAGAGAAGGTTGAACGTTATCAAAACTCAGGAATGGACGAGATTTCAGATGATGAATTTTGGCGCTTGATTCAACATGGAGTTCCTACAGAAGAGGACGCTGCAGCATATCACCGTCAATACACTGACACGCACCTTGAGAATATTATGAGGGAAACCAATCGTCTATTGGATACTCGTATGCAAAGGCTGAGAGCTGAGTTCGAAGCAGCAGCCGTGCGCAACAACCAGATTGCAATGGACCAGATTGAGAATGAAATGACCAAGTGTGCACACCTCAGGTATTCTACCTAGCTGCTTGCAGTGCTTGGTGTTCGAGCTCTATACGGTGTTTTTTGCAAAGCGCTTGTATTTTTTGACCTTCTGAGATGGAATGAGGAGATAGGTGCCTGTAGCCCTTTTGCTTTGAGACACAGCCGAGTGTCTGACAAGTTCCAATTTAACGTTTGCAATCCAAATCACATGATTGGATTGAGGCGGGGTGATGGAAATTTCCGTTGTTGCAACCGTTGCCATTAGCATATACATAGCTGTCATGTGCATACACGTTTGACTTTGCAAAACATGTTCAATTTGTGCAGACAGTTTAGTTGAAAACTACTCCAATTCCATTTGATGTGCGAAACTTGCACAGCACTGATATCCGAGGCGTTTGCCAATCAAAGAAAACAATCAAACTTCCAGTTGCTGAACCCAATGATCCTGCGGTGGACGCGTGCAGAAATGTGGCGCGAAGTGCTGGCGCGAGTTGAACAATTTTACGCATTGTTAGCGGTGATCAGACTTAGTTGCTGCATCTGCCGATTTGTGTGAATTGTGGATCAGGAGGCTGGCAGGGTTGTAATGTTGTGAAGAAAAAAATTGGGGTCATTTTGGGCTGATTGATGAGTCAGTGGCCAAAAAATCTGACCAAAAGACGGTTTGGTGATTTTGCATGATGTTTGAAACGTGCCTTTACATTTTCAAAAATCGTGGTGACTTCACCCTGTTTGGATTCCATATGGACTTTGCTGAACCATATCACCAAAAACCCCAATTGTGCTATGTATACTGGTAAAATTTTAAACCGTGCAGCATGGGTTTGACTGATGTTGGTCTTCGGACGGGGTTTTTCTTTTGCAAAAACGTTGTGATACCACCAGTTCCAAAAATCACGGACGTGTTTATCGATCATTTTGCGGACGCGCGCGCGCTACTTTTTTTCCTCTGTAGAAATTCAGTTTTACGGTAAACCCGCAAATAGTAGAACCAGTTAAATTGTACAAACACATGTGTTTGTTTGTCATCATTGGCATGTCTTGCTTATTGCGCGATGCACTCGCGGCAACAAATTGTAGTCACGAAACAAAATAAAGTTGAAGCCGCCCGCTCTTTTGATTGAATTGTTTGTGCACCTGGTTGGGAAAAAAACACATGGGAGATGCATGGTTTGATGTTCTGGTTTGTTAGCTTCAAATTTTTGATTTATTGTGCTGCAAAAGTCTGTTTTGTGATTTTCGATGCCAGATTTGCAATCTCGATTTTTTTAAAACACACCATGTGGGGTGAGTTTTTCCTGTGTTATGATTTGCCGTTTTGCTCAATGAAGCACACTTTACATTTCAAAGTCAAAATCATTTTCGTGTGTTACACAGTGCTTGGGAAATCGGTCGGGGACTCAAATTTGGATTTGACATGGATTTGATTCATCAGTGCCATACCTCCGTGGATCCGTTCAAGGTGTCTGCAGACTTCTGCGGGGTCATGCCCTCGGCAGACAATGTTTCAGAGCATAATGGCACTGCCATGTCATCAAGCGCTGTTGTCGGTCCGTGCTGGTTGATGGAATTTCATCATTTTGTTTGCATGGATGTTACAGATTCACAAATTTGCAATGAGAAATGAAACAAATGTAATTCTGAAGTGCTAGTATCCAACAAGACCGCAGTTTTGGGAACCGTTGCAGCACTCAATGTACATTTGAAGTGAAAAACCCACAATGCAAAGTTATCAAATTCCAGGGAACTGTTGGAATTCAGGCCACAATGTTGGGTTCCACTGCCCAGGTCGGATTGCCATTTTGCATGTGAGATTGATTAGTTTTGTGAGTGACAACTTGTCATTTGACACCATATTTAGTATGGTCAATCTGTCGGGACTGCCCTGTCCTGTTCTGATTTTGGTGAAAACATGTCACGAGTCTTGTGCGTGCTGATTCCTTTGCAGGTGCCCATGTCTTCCCAGAGCCTTTCGCCAATGGCTGCTCCTATGCAGACGGTCTGCACTCTTCAGTGCAAACAGTGTAACATGGATTCTGCCAATTTTGGCTGGCAAAAACATTTGAACAATGCCTGTAATTAAATGATAACAGTGTTTTGTTTTGCTCTGCTGATCTTGAACAAGGCCACATATTTTTTCACGTTTTGTGGGAATTTGGTTGCCTGCACAATTTGATTGACAAACCATTACGTGCCAATTGAATGTCTTCAATTGCAGGTGCCCATGTCAACACAAAGTCTGTCTGCCAAAGCGGTGCCCCCACAGGCCGTGATGGCATTGCCTTCATTTAAATTTACTCAAAAAACAAAACAGTGAAATGAGTGTTACAGTTTTCTCTCAGCATGGGCAGGTTGCGCACATAGGTTTTGGGTTTGAAACATTTCAGGACGTGACACACGGGCACCTTCTAGGCTCAGAGGGGCTTCGTGCCCTGTAGCTGTGAGTTGTCCATCAGCAACTCCTGGTGACGATGCACTCCGTGCCGGCAGCCGCTGCTGCGGCCGGCACAGCCTACACCGGGAAATGGCTCTTCGACTACAATCGGGCGAACTTCCAGTACGATGTGCCACAGAGGTTTGGACGTTACATGACGTCCCGTGGGATGCTGAACACTCAAGTTGGTCAGTATCGACAAGATGTCCATGGCATTGCTGAACTGACCTCCTCCAAGATGGACACAGTCCAAGCGATGATGACGCTGACACTCTGCGTTTGTGCTGCTCTCTCAGATGCTGGACGCATTGGCATGCATGGTTGTGCACCTCCGCAATGGCTGTGTGCTCTATACTCAGGCCCATCATGCCCTGGTTCTGCCATGAAACTAAGAGACATAAGAGACAGAGCAAGTAAGAGGGTGTAATTGCAGTTCTGGTACGTTCTTTCTTCATTTTTCTTATGATCAGGCCACATCTACACATCCATTCTCCTTTGTGGAACGGCACTTTGGCTTGGCATGCACGGCTCGCTGCGTGCACAGCCACTTGGTTGAACTTAGTTTTGCCATATCTCGGCTGTGTTTTCACTGGAGACAGCATCAACCAGCTTCAACATCTATTTTCTTCAACCGCATCTCTCAATCTGTGCACTCAGGGTGGCTGCAACCTCGTTGCTAACGCGAAAGGTCCGATTGCCAATTCCTTCGATGGCCCAGTTAGATGCTGCGCGATCCTTTGGTTCAGCCTTTGAGCAGCAGAAACTCGGAGATCAGTTTCGCGTCCCTTAGCTGAGCTTCTCACCTCGAGTTTCCACAACATGGTCCCCCAAGAATCACAGATTACCACAGATCTATTTCTACTTTTCTGTTTCAAATAGATCTTCAAGACAGGCGCTGTAGTTCTTGAGTTTAAGCTTCTGCTTTCCATCAGGTGCCCTTCATGCGCCACCCTGAAGACGCACCTGACCTTCCGCCCGCTTCCTCGGGAGAGTCCGAGGTGGGATGCGGCAGCGATGTGGGTTGGCTTTAACTTTGAGTGATCCAGTGATCCCGGTCCCCGGTGGCAGGAAGATGAGAAGAAGAAAGAAGGCAAAGAAGGCAAAGAAGGCAAAAAGAGCAAGAAGAAGAGCTCCAAGGCACGGCACTGCGGCACTGTGCCATCGCATGCTTGTCGTAAACCATTCCTCTTCCTGTAAGGTGGCAGCCCCTGACCCGCGAACTGAATTCAGCAGCACTGCCCGCGATACTGTGCCATCCTGGATTCGAGATGAACAGGTGCTGAGATGTGCTGAGATGTGAGTGCTAGCAGTTGCATGGCTTCCTTGAGGTGAAATCTCGATTTGATGGCATTCAGACAAATACTTGAAACATCTTGAAACCATTGCAGGTGGTTGACAAGGACCAGGGATTCAGCAAAGTGTCTCCTGGCTGCACACTTCAGGGTCAAGAAAGTGGAGCTGCATGTATTCCTGCAGACTTGGATGGTTTGGTAAAGTTTTGGTATCAATTTCTGACTGAAGGCTCCCGACTCGTGATGAATTTGAACCACATGAGACTCCAGACCACTTCAAGATGCTCCTGGCAGCCCATTCCTCAAAGCTTGGGGAAAAGAGCTCACCTAAGTTTGACATCATGTGAGTTCTTGTAGTTTTTCATTGACATCATGTCCAGAGTTGGTTTGAAGGCACATAGGCTGGAAAAGAACAAGGTTTCCTGTAGATTTTCCCAGAAACCCATCCATTGATGTCTGTGTCTTATTGTTTCGATGTTTCCTCGATCAAGGCCCAGGAGGAATGGTGGCAGTACGATGTCTACGCCAGGGTCCTGATGCTCTATGGATCTGTCCAGTTTCTTTACGCGGCGCCTTGTCTTCCCAGGGTTACATAGCGTACATAGATTGCATTGTCACGGCAGAGAAAGCCGATGAAAGCCGTATTTTCTCAAGATGTCGGCCTGAGATCTGAGGTATGCTACTATTGCATTGGTACCACCACCGCTGAGCTTCGTGGCTTCTGGATTTCCTGGTCAATGCCCATGCTGTTTATGGCTGCCCAGGTCTTGATCATGCGGCTGGACATTGTTCGCACCTCTGGCAATCACATGTTGCCCAATGCTGAATGGATTGGACACCTGGCCCCCTACTTCGCAGTGACCGCAACAACCTTGGAATATCGCTATTTGTATTCCCCCACCACCGTAATCCTCACCTGGGTCTTTGTTTTCTTGGCCTACTTCGGACATTTTGTGATGGTCTGCGCCTCAGGTTTTGCTCTGGATTCAAGGGATATGACAGGAAATTGGACCTGGATTCGTTGATGTCTTCTCATTTTCCCATTTCTCAATCCAATTCCGTCCTCTGACCATTTCGTTTCCATTGAATTAAATTTTTGCATCTGAAATTGGATCATTTCAAACATTTCCCTTGCATTTCAGGCCCTCCGATTCTTGGATCTGGCCTGGCCAGACTGGAATCGTCAGACCGATATGCCAGATGAAGCAGGAAAGCCCTGGTGGCCATCCACATGGAAGGCAGGGATGGTCCTCTTCGACCGGGAATCATACTGAAGTAAAATAAATCCCCAAAAAGACGCATAAAAGGGAGATGTATATCACAATTCTAGTGGGATTTTACTTTTTCATCTTTTTTTTTTGGATTACTATGTACACACAAATAACACACACACACCTACTGTTTGAGCACTTGATATTGTACCCCAGAGCGGCGCTGCGCCAGGTGCCATCAGCGTTCCGCAATGCCTTGTGGCTGCTGGCGCCGCCAAAGAAACTTGAGCCTGGACAACATGATCTCCTGCACGAAGCGGAGGTGGGATGACGACATGTGAGGAGAATGGGTACAGTACCAAATTGGTTGTGGTTGTTGTGGTTGTGGTTGTTGTGGTTGTGGTGGTTGTGATTGTTGTGGTTGTGGTTGTTGTGGTTGTGGTTGTTGTGGTTGTGGTTGTTGTGGTTGTGGTTGTTGTGGTTGTGGTTGTTGTGGTTGTGGTTGTGGTTGTTGTGGTGGTTGTTGTTGTTGTTGTTGTTGTGGTTGTTGTTGTGGTTGTTGTTGTGGTTGTTGTTGTGGTTGTTGTTGTGGTTGTGGTTGTGGTTGTTGTTGTTGTTGTTGTTGTTGTTGTTGTTGTTGTTGTTGTTGTTGTGGTTGTCGTCGTCGTCGTCGTTGTCGTCGTCGTCGTCGTCGTCGTGGTTGTTGTTGGTGTTGTTGTTGGTGTTGTTGTGGTTGTGGTTATGGTTGTTGTTGTTGTTGTTGTTGTTGCTGTTGCTGTAGTAATAGTAGTAGTAGTCGTAGTAGTAGTAGTAGTAGTTGTGTTGTTGTAGAGGGGGTATCAAGAGAGCTGATCCCGATTATCCTATGCGTGGGGGACCTTTGTGAGATTTTGCCGGTTGAATGACTCACAATTTCTTGTGATGGGAGGAAGACTGGAGTTTTTGTTGTGGTCAATTAGAGAAAGATCCAACACCTGCGAGGGACTGGCAAGTTCCGGTGGTGGAGTTGAGCTTCGGCGTCGGAAGGGGGACAAAAAGCAGAAGGGAAAGATGAAGGAGGTCCGGAAGGGATCCAAAGTGAATTCCCAATGTTTTCATGGTGATCTACTTTTCTCAAAAATCCAATCCCTTGTCATGTCCTTTGCATTGAGTGCTGTTGGGGGAATTTTATCACCAGTTGGGCCTTGCTGATCGTGTAGGAGATAAATGATTTGGCACTGGCTCAAACTATTGACCCCGAAATGTGATGGTCAAATACTGTATACAAATGACCAACCATTTGTGGTTCTATTGGCACCCCATTTGTCGTCAAAATATGTCAAAATGCCACTTGCTTTATTGTGACCCCAAAACCGGTCGAAAAGATCTAACGGCGAAAAATGAAACTCTACTGCTTTCATGGTGATTTGCTTATGTATACACTCCGTGTATCGCCGAGTTATATAAGTATATAATGGATCATAATAGAATATTATAGATATATGATATATATTTATATATATATAATATATATAGATACATACCGCGCATTGCATCCAACGTCAAGGGGATCAACCGCTTTCCAGAGACCGCGGCAGGTAGGTGAAGGCCTAGGTGCAGAAGTGGACCCAGAAGAAGCTTCGGGCGAGGCGCGATGAAATTCTGCTGTTTCTGAGGTGGTGAAACGGGTGTGTCGAAATGAAGATTTTAATGAAACTTAATAAGCCCCGAAATTGCCACTTTTAATCGGGAAAATGATGATCAACCATCAGTTTTTTGGGTACGACCACCATAAATCACAGGCTTGGGCCTACGAACATGTTTCTGTGGTAAAGCTACAACCATAAACCACAGCCCATTTACTCAATGACTCAGCATGTTTTTTTCAAACTCTAACATCGGGGTATGTGTGGCATTGCCGTTACCACATATGGAGAATCCGAGGCTGAAGGCGCCTTTACTGGACGATCCCCGTTCAAAGCCTTTGCGGAAGCGCGGTCTCCGGACAGGGTTTGCATGGCCAAAACTGGGGCTGACTCCCACTCTTTTGAGGAAACCTCCAGTTTACCCAGGTGGACCCAGGATTAGGGAAACCACTCCCACCACTCCCTTGAGGTATCAATGTAGGTTGCACAGGCGGACCCTTTTCAGGACCTTCCCTGGCAACTTGCCAGAATTGCCATTTGCACAGTGGCCTTTGGTTGGGTGTACATGGCCATTTGTCTCTTCGTCGTCTGGTCCTCAGTGAAAGCCATGTACTGCTATGTTGAGTCAACAGAGAGGTGCAGTGGAAATTGTGGAGGTGGATGCTCTTGACAATTGCGGCTTTGTCGGAAAAATTCTGTACCCCCAGCTCCACTTTGGAGCATCATAAACTATCTTCCCAATTTTCGAATGGTCCCATCCGCCATCATCCGCCCATTTCCGCCATCATAGCCTGGTGGCTGAGGAGATGAGCATTGGCCAAGACGCGGTGATGAAACCACCTGGTGAGCCACCATGGATTCGCGATCAGAAGCTGCGACCTCAGAGGGAGCCATGTAGCCATCCTTGGGGACTATGATACGTCCATAGTTGATGGGATATCGATTTTACATCATGGGATAGGAATACGGAATACGGGTAATATTCGTGGCTCAAGTGTTCAATTATGATCAATCTTCCATCTCTCAGGACTAAATAATATCAAACCTCTAGATTTCTTGCTGAATTCAGCATTTTTTCACCATTTGGTTGGCTTTTCCGTTTTTTGCACCATTTTTTTTGGGGGGTTCACCAGCTTCACCAGCCATGACTGGCCAAGGATGGTCAATATTTGGAAGCCCAAGGCGTGGCACTTGAGCAACGAAAAACTGCCAGGTGACTGGACTGCAGCTCCAAATGGGAGATATATGATGGATGTGGTGTATACGTGTATATATATATAATTATATATATATATAATTATATATATATATTTATATTCACCCCGCTTCGCGTGGGGTGGCCGCCCACACCGCAGGTTTATTTCGGTCCGTGAGAGGGGCTAAGGGTGGTGTGGAATATGAGGAGCAGAGCAGCACAGGAGAATTGACATACATAACTGCTGGGTTCGTGAATTTTAACTTTTCCCCCCTGAAGCTTCCCAAGCTAAGAATTTTCACTTCCCCCCCCGTGGGGGCTCCCCAAGCTAGGGAATTTTCACTTTTCCTCCCCGTGGGGGCTTCCCAAGCTAGGGAATTTTCACTTTTCCCCGCCGTGACAGCTTCCCAAGCTATGGAATTTTCACTTTTCCCTCCCTTGGAGGCTCTCCAAGCTGCAGAGTTTCAAATAGCTAGACAACGACGCCTAGATAGTCCCCCAAATCCCGTGTTCTTTGAATGTGTTTCCATGTTTTTGCAATGGTTTCCTTCAAAGCACGGTACTTTACACTTTTGTCGCCATAAAACCGGTCGAAAACATCATGTTCGACAATGCTTCCAATTCCCTTATCTCCCCAACCGTTGAAAATACCGCTATTTACAGTGTTTTCTTCAATTTTTCCATGTTCCAATGCCGGTAGCCAACTCCAACATATATATATATAAGAAATCCTTCCAAAACATTGTTTTTGACAGTGTTTTTCCAATGTTTCCAGTCAAACAGACGGTAATTTACACGTTTTTTGCCATAAAGGCAGTAGATCCTTCCAAAACATTGCTTTTGACAGTGTTTTTGTAATGTTTCCAGTCAAGCATACGGTAATTTACACGTTTTTTGCTATAACGTCAGTCCAAAACACTTGTTTTTGCAGTGTTTTCAATGCTCTGGCATCCAAAAACCTGCAAAATCTTGCTATGTACATGTTTTTTTCATTTTTGGCCGTTTTTCCATTGCCGGAAAGCTACCAAAATGACCCAAAATTCCATTTCAATACCCTCTTGCGCTCAGACACCCAAAAATCCTCGAAAAATGTCGAAAACACCACCGAATTCTGGTCTCGGTGCGAAACCGTTTTTGGCCCCCCCCCAGCTAAAGCTGATATAGCGACTGCTATATTAACAAATGTGACTGAGCATTTAGTGTAGCTGTTTCCCCCCAATAAGCACGCCTTCACCGCCAAAGCGGTGTGGGCGGATTTATTTATATTTGTTTATGTATTAAAAGGTTTGGCCGAAGCAAGGGTCGACCCCCTCGACTCGTTCATTCGGTCTTCACCTTAGCGGTTTGCAATAGACCGCGGGCGCGGTGCTGCTTCAGCTCACTGGTGGCATCTTCGCGCCTCTTGCGCTCTGTCGGTCTCGGGCTGACCGATAACGCCTTTGCTGCAATGCTTATCAAGTTTGTGAGCCTCGAGTTTGTACTTTGTCACTGGCATCGTGATGCACATTGCCCTGGTCATCCTCATTGTGATCTTTCTCTTTTACGTGCACCACGGCGACATCTACACGAAGGAGAAGGGAGCGCAGGCAAAGATCTACGGCCCGCTTTCTCTGGCACTGCCATCGGAAAGGTCTACTCGTTTTTTCGGCGCTACGTCTAGCACGCATTGGGAGCGTGCTAGAAGGTCACCATTCAAGAGATCCGTCACTCTTTGCGGAGATCACGGCAACCATGGCGGCTTCTCAGACGAGGGAACCCTAGCTTTGCGATGCGGTTCATGCGTCGAGCTCTGGCCTCGATGCTTGGACAAGACGTACGTTCTTGGAGGAAGAGGTTCATCAAACCAACAGGGCAGTCATTGGAGCTACACTGGATGGCAAGCTCAGGATCAAGGCCAACCATCCCAGCGCAGAGCAAAGTCTCCGCGTGCGAAAAGTGGAAGAAAGCCGAAGTCACCCAGAGGGAGGCGAGGGAAGCAGAAAGAGGAACAATTGGTACCAGATCTGGATTCACCTTGGAATTCCAAACAATCTCCCAGTGCACCTTCCACGACTTCAAGCTCCTCGAATGCACAGGCAGAAAGCCAGCTATAGAACCTGGTGACGGAACTCAAGAAGATGGACGCTCCGTTATCACCAGAGGACATCGAGCAGCTGATCGAAGAGACCACAACTCCTGTTGTGACCTCCAAAACGGTGCACTCAGCAGAATCCAAAGTGGACCAAGCTCGCGCCAAATTCCAGACAGCTCAAAAAGCCCGGAAGAAGTTGCTCGATCAATGGTCCTCCGATCTCGAACAGAGCATTGCGAGATGGCGGAGTTTAGCAGAAGATTTCAGCAGCAAGGACCGCGACCTGGAAGAGAAGGTCAATGAAGCTGGAGAGAAGTTGCAGGAGGCCTGCACCTATCTCGACAAAGCGAAAGAGCTGCATTCCAAACAGGACGAAGCCGTTCTGGAAGGAGCCGCGGAAGTGATCTCGCATGCAGAGGACGAGGGCATGAAGATCGAGACTGCGGAGGTCATCCGTCAAGGGATAGACAGCGTGGTTACGAACCTCGAAAACATCCGAGTGCGGCCCGGAGCCGTCAGAAGAAGAGGCCGCATCGACCAAAAAAGCCAGACTTGGGGAATCTGGTGGATGCTATGCAGCCTTTCTCCAGGCTGGGCCAGTAGACTTGAAAGAGACTTGCCCTAGGCCGTTGCACCAACTGTGCTTCCGAGATCATTGCGACTTTATCTGGAATCACAGCATTTTGGAAGAACCTTATTTTGTATCTCCATGGCAAGCGAGCATAGATGCTTTGGGCCTCTCCTACGAAGTTGGGACAGGAGCACAGATATCCAAACTCGATGTTCGCTCTGGAGTGAAAAAGCGACATTCTCACAGAGCTGCCTTTGCTTCTTCAGTTGAGCTCCTTGTGGGTTCGGACCTCGACTGGTCTTTTGTGCTCTGGCCAAACAGAATTGAAGTTCCGCACACGGCTGCTCACGTCCTATGTTCCCTTCCAGGACAGAGCAACAAGGTGGGACTTTCAGGTAGAGTCCCAGTAGAGGACGACAACGAGAGCGATATGGGTTCGTTCATGGCAGTGCATGCAGCTCACATCACAGACCATGGTTCCGTTGACATTATGAACAATCCAGGCATCACCATAGACGCAGATCAAGAACAAGAAGCAGATGTACAAATTGAGGTTGAAGCGTCGTCTGAACGTTCATGGTCGTCCATGCAGGATGTCTACCGAGACAGCGGTTGGCATACCACATTGATTTTCTCCATGGACAAAGATACGATCTCACGCATCCCTGACTGGAATGACTATTGATCATGTAGCTACACGTTGCCTAGCCAGTGCTTTTTTTCGAGGCTTTTCAATGGCAGAGATTTTAGATCGTCATGCTCTTCATGCCATTGGATGGATTGACAATCTCGTGTTCCACTTGATGTAACGCCCCTCCTACAACTTCCTGCACTTGATGATTGTCCTAGGTGTCTTCTTGACGGTCAAAAAAGGATTCATGGACAACCTCTTGTGTCTCCACTATGTGCAAGGCTTGAAGATGAAGATCCGCAGGGAGTTGCGCCACCTGAATGGAGAATCCCTATTCATGATCCAGTTCAGCCAGGTGAGCCTGTATTGCTTCAAGCCATCCAAGAACTTATTCTAGTACGATTGCACGTCCTAGCGACTCAGGAAGAAGGACAAGATCAGAGTTTCGAAGTGATCGTATGGTTTCTTGACTCAGAACATCAACTTGTTTGCCACGAAGGAAGAGAAGTTGATCTAAATGGAGCCGATCCTGCTGCCTGGATTCAACTTCTGCAAGAAGCGTGGCGTGACAAGATCAACCTGGAGTTGCCTCTTCATGCATATTTAGTCAGCCCATCCAACAACCATTTCGGACAGGAGGAAGAGACCTCATGTCATCCTAGTACAAGACACTCCTAATGATCACTTCGCGAACTTGATCACAGTCTTGGACACCAACAACCATGTTGATCCACTTCGTCATAGCGCACGATTTGGTTCCATTCACATGTACAAAGATCAGGTCATCATCACTGCGAATCTCATCGATGTTTGCATCTCGGAGCGCAAGTCGTCGCAGTGTATGGTTTGGCATGGTGAAACAGAATTGAGAGCTCGATTAGCCATTAGGAATCGACATGGTCTTTCCTTCGTGATCGTACTCAATAGAGCGCATCTACCACCCACTTCGGACCCATGGGAAATAGAATCAGGCGGAGACTCACTTCTACAGCTTGGACATTCCCTTCATGTGCAACCCGAAAGACATGTAGTCCAACTGGTGCAAGGAAGTCCTGATTTGCGGCTGCCAACTTATGCGGAGCTTCATGGGCAGCCTACTGAGGCTGTCCTTCGTGAAGAGCTCACACATTGGGGTTTGACCGGGCCTGCCCTCTTATTTGGAGCTCAGGAGAAGGCTGTGGTTTTCTCGTCAGACTTTGGAAATGCTGATTTTTTTTACTATCTGCTGTGTAATGAGGATGTCAAGGATTCACAAGGGGCCATCATGCATAGTGCACAGGCTCCTCTGAAAGACCTTGAGATCATGCAATTCCTCTATGAGCTGGGATACTGGCGTGCTGTGGTGCTGCATTCTGATCCACTTCATGTGAATCTTCTTAGAGTCATCTTCAAGAACCAGCAAGTGAACGTCCACTGCGCCAGCAAAATCAGCAAAAGGCCTTCATCATGGCCAGCAGAACAACCAGTAGGAGGACGTCACAGGCCCTTCCATGTACCTGCAGAGAGCCAAGTTGTTCAAGAGGTGGATCACTTCATTGATTTCAACATTGGGGACCAGGAGTTTGCGCAGCTCTTTGCTTCGCATCAACATGTTCTCTGCGATGATCCTGCAGGCCTGGATCTTCCTGAAGAATGCAAATCAGCGCTAGCAGGATTGACGCCTCTCTGACTTTTGCGGACTTCGACCGGCTGGTGATCTACTGCGATGATGGTTCATCGGTCAACTCACACAAATACAACTCACC